CCTTCAATAAGAACCAAATGAGCAAGAGAGCGCATTGAAAACATGAGATTATGGCTTGAGATATGCATTATACTACACAAAACCCTGACTGGAAGAATGAGCTGAATTCCTATGATCATCATCCATGAAGCAACATGAATTTGACATAGCCCTGATAACTTGGTAATGAAGCAAACTTCTTGAATTCTCGCTGAACTTCAACCATCACTGCCCACATGCTTGGGACAATAAAAATGAAAGGGTAGGATAAATTTGGAGTATGACAATGTTGCAGTGGAATGCTAACATAAGCAAATAAAGATAAAGAACTGACAAAGATTTATATTGGTTCCTCCCAAAAGAGAGTTGTCCAGTCCCCTTGCATCACAAGAGATTTTCACTATAACTAAAACATGACTACAATCGCTTATGCACTTAAGTATAAGAATTTTCTTTGTTCAGACGCTCAGCTCAAGACTTCCTGCTTAAACCCATCAGGTCCAAGACTTCTACTTAGGTTCCATGAACCCAAGACTTCCTTGCTTAATCCCTTCAGAATCAAGACTTCTTCTCAGACTCTCGCTCCAAGACTTCCCTGCTTAGATTCCACGAATCCAAAGCCCCTCAGGCCCAAGACTTCCTTGGTTAAGTTCCACGAACTCAAGACTTCCTTGCTCAAGTTTTACGAATCTAAGACTTCTGCTTATACTCTCAAGTACAAGACTTCTGCTCAGACTCATAGTCTAAGACTTTCTGCTCAATCAACAACTAACCAATACTTTCAATGCTCTAGCACATAGAAGGAGACTTACTTGGCTCAAGCTTCTCAGCAAGAGACTTTGATGCTTAAACACATAGCAATAAACTTTATCTAAACTACTAAATAATCATATTTAGCATAATAGAGAACAAGGTATACTAAAAAAAATCAGAGTTATAGGGTAATCACCATAACAAAGACCTTAAGCACTTAAAATTTCTAAGACATTCAATTTTTAAGAAATCTTAAGGCTTATTACAATTTACAACATATAACAAAAAATTTGCATACTCAATTGTGTTGCTTATTGTTGATCTTGTTATTTCTCCATCCAGACAGAAGTGTAGAACACTTCTATCCTTCTTGGATTTCCTTCTATATTTTCCCTTTCGATTGATCCTTGTTAAAGACTTCTGTTTGAATCTTCAGCAGCTTATATAGCATTTTTAGAAGACTAAACGTTGGAAGAGATAACTTGAACAAGTGTCTTTGTTTTTCCATAGTAAAAGAGACGTTGAAGAGAGATACACCAAAAGATCTTAATCCACTGTGTAATATATTTCACCATTGCGTTTTCCATGTAATCTTGTATTATAAATCTGTTGAGAGTAGATATTTGTAAGGCATGTCAACTTTTCGTGAGCCTTGTGAACATAGACTCTAGCTGATAAGCTGATTTGACAATGCAACTTACTTTCTACGATATATATAACTCAAACTTTATTACTAACTCTGAATGTTTATGAAAAGCTGATACATTAACTTAGTGTAGAGACAATATGTTGCTCTTCTGAGATGTGGCATTCAGCTTCAGAGTCTACGTCATACATCACTTAGAGGGTGTTGTTTATGTTCTGATCCACCAGAAGCTAGTAACTCAAATGCGTCCTTATATTAGATTCTAAATGCCTTCTCTTCAAGCTTTAGAACCTGCATACTTGAAACACACATTAGATAACACCATTATTCTGTAAATACTTTGATATCATCAAAACCCAAGAGAGATATGTCATGAACAAATATTGTTCTAACAGTCATGTTCTAGATAATACTCGTATTTTCCTTGGATCATTTACTCATCAGTCTCAAAAACCATTCTAACAAATGTTCACACACAATGTTACCTACTATCCATGGAATCCCCACCCACTCTGCTATCTTTCTTCACACAAGGCGAATGCACGAACATGAACAAAAAATATGGTTTTTATCTTCAACATCATTGAAACAGAAGACACAAACGATGTCATGCGGATTATAGATTATTCCTCTGACCGCCAGATTAAATCTGGTTGGAAGCATGTCCAACACCATTCTCCACCCAAAAATTCTAACTTTAAGAGGGATTTTAGGCTATCAGAACACCTCCAAAGTATTCTTTGGTAAAATCTCTAATGCAGGCAAACCATACTACTTCCCAACAAATTCTAACTTTAAGATGTATGTATCTCATTGTGCTAATTTTGGATCATTTAATTCATGGAGTCTCAATCTTTACACAAATCTCCCTTACTACTTCCCAGCCAATTCTTCAGTGTAGCATGGACAGACTCAACTCAGTTTGTTGTTGTATTTCCAAGGTGTCTAACCTGATCGGTCCATGCATATACAATTTTCTTCTTCACCTGGTCCAAAATTGTGCTTTCAACAAATTTGGATATTTCTCAAACACCTTTCTCAAATGTATACAGTATCAACATATAGCTCTTTTGTAGAAGAATGTATTATAATATTTCATGCATCTATTATTTTTCCACTATCACGCCCACCTTGACCATGTTTCCATCTTCAACATTTATCTGTTTTGTCCCTACCGCGGGTTTAACCCGACTTATCACATTCTTTGTTATGTGATACCTACAAAATAATGCATAAGAAGTAGAAAATATTGTTGCAACCAAATTCATCAAAGCAATATTGCGGTCATTAACAATTACTTTCGACATGTCTTCTTGGTCCTTCAACATTTCCCGACACACCTCTAAAGCCCAATTAACATTTTCCTTTTTTTCCTTTCTAGAAAGAAAAATTCGGTAGAACAAGTCTTCTCGGTAGAGGTAACACCAACAATTTTTAATAGTGAAAGTTTGTACTTGTTGGTCCTATATGTTGAAACATGTTAAACAACTTGATGAAATCAGGATGAGTCCAAAACATATCTCAAACGGTTACTCCATCCTCGCATGTTCGTTACCCAGAAACATAACAATTATCATCCAAAAGTTTCAATAGTTGTTTCATTTCAGTTTTATCCCCCTTATCGCCTTGTTATTTTGGTACCGAATATTGTACAGCTGCAAGTATGTTTTTCGGTTGCACCAAATTCAATGTCATGTTTGAAACGCAATCCTTCTCTTCTGGCATGAAGCGACATGCAATTGGATTAGCGGCTAACTTTTCACACAAGTTATAAACCACATATCACATTAAATCTCCATTTGTTATTTGTCAACATATAACCACACAACTTAAAGGAACACTCACATTTTTGTGAAGTGGTGTCATCTCATTTAAAATTTAATAAATAAATGTCATATTTCACACTTCTTTTGCATGTCATTGTCACAAATGCACCTCTTCTATCTAAACCATAATTGGACACTCTGATTACAACACTAAACCCCAGTTTGGATGCCTCCGTACAAATTATATGAAGCATGTGATCAAGAAATTCAAACTCTTGCTCATTTTTAAATTGGTTGTCAACATCCATCTCCTTCACAACAACACCTTTGACATCCAAAGACACAATATGTTTGGGAAAAATATCGGGGTGCACCATATCTAATGAAAACAATAACATAAAAAACTATAAAACTGCTAAAACTGAAAAACATGAAAACAAAGAGTTTGGAACATGAAAACAGACAGCCTATGGAGATATATCTCCGGATGAATTCATAAAGAATTCAGAGATGCATCTCTAGATTAAACGAATATTTTTCAGATACAAAACAGGTTTAGTGTGAGCAATGAGACTTGAAATAAATAAATGATCTTTACCTGAAATTCCAACTTCTTTTTCTCATTTTGATGTGATAAAATATAAGAAGGAAGATTTGAAGTGAAAATATTGATTGCGAATAGAAGAGTTTTTGAAAAGATTTGGAATAAAAATGAGATATGGGTCTGATTATGCATGTACATGCTTTATCAAAATCATGTTTGATAATTATAGAAATGTGTCTCCGAAAATATAATATGCAAGGGCTGTTTTCAAATTTCCGCTCCAAAACCACGGAGATACATCTTCCAAAACTCTACTAAACTACTCAATAATCAATAAACTAAATGAAAATACTCAAAAATGCATCTCCTTGTTAATATTTTGTTTTAGCATAGGATGACACTTATTTGGTTTTAGCATAGGATGGCACTTATTTGGTATGTTACACAGTAATGCAAATGATATGTCTGGAAATCTGAAATCTTATGTTATACAGTAATGCAAATGATACGTCTGGAGATCTGAAATCTGAAGGCATTTTTAGATTTCATAGGATATTTTTTCCCTAGATAAGTTGAAATAATTCTCTAAAAGAAGAATCATGGGAAAGGAGTTTTACATTGATTACCAAAACGCAACAAGAGCAGAATAATGAATACAAAGAAATGCTGACATACACCAGTAATTGCTTATCGCTTGAATAAATTAAAAAACTACCTCTAAATCAAAATTCTATGCAATGAAAATTTCAGATTACTAGAGAAGGCCCGAAGCATTAAAACATCACCCGAAATAATCTGGCTGTAAATTGAACCTCCAATGCAAGTTACAACTAGATTTTGAACTCATCAGACATATACAGTTCTTTCTCAGCTAATTTATGCACAATGATACTAAATTCTGTTGGTAACATAGTTTTATAGAAAATAGTTTTATGAAGAGATTTTTTAAATACTCTAGAAAACTAATCTTAGACATTTCTTTAAATAATTGTTCTCTTTAAACTGTTCAAAAATAATAATTTTATTGTGTAGTCCAACCAATACGCATAATAGTCCAAAGTTTCAATCTTTCGGTACTTACTCATTTGTGTATAATGACTTTCAATGCTTTCATAGAAGAGGTATCACATTATAAAAAGATATGCACAGTTTCTTTTTTAACAAATAAAATACAACTCATAAGATATTAGTTGCAGATCATACATGAAAAATAGTTCCTTATGATTTTATTTATTTTCATATTAAAATACACAATATCCATACTCCATATAAACATATATTGCATTAATGTGAGGATAGTGCAGTTTCCTGCTCAAACATGACCCCCATCAGTCTGTGGCTGATATGTTCGACGCCTAAGCTGAGAATCGGTATTTGGTTGCTGCAGAAATATTCTTGTTGGATCGTTAGGATCAACATACCTGCATAATGTTTTCAACCATAAATCCTTGGTTTCTAGATAATAAACACCACAATCCATACCCTAACAGACTAAAAAAAACTAAATTTTAGCTTTCACTTACGCATGTCTCATCATCTCATCGACAGGAGCCTGAGATACTGGCAAAGGATCGATGCGGGATTCTGTAGGCGCACTAGCAAGTTGATTATACCGTCTCACTGAAGCAATCAAATTGAAAAAAAGAGGAATGAAAGTTCCACAGCCTCCCTCTTTGAATATGATCTTAAATGAGTGTGTGGAGTAAAGAGCTCTATGTTGATCAGCTGGAACTACCTATATTGCAATTTTAGAAAGTTACAAGTTGTAGGACCAAAGATTTTGATACAGCAATGAACAATTACAGAATATATAGGGGCAAAATCAGGATAGCAAATAATGGAAAATTAACTTACCGGCTCAACAAATCCAGAAATATTGTTGCAGTGAAATATTGGTTGGTTAAATTTTTCACCATTGATGTAAAGCTGCATAAGGATCAAGACATTGAAAATATCAAATATAGAGCATTTACGTATATTAAATTTTCATTGGCAACCGAGAAATAAAATATAAAATGCGAAATATATTTTATCCATTTCATGTAAATAGCTCTTTCTCAACTTAACCCTCTAGAAAACAAAATAGCAACACAAAACTATCTCATAATTTGATTTCAAGTGAAGAAGTAATATTTTGGAGGTTAAACTTGAGCGTTAATAACAAGTATTTGCATGTCCTGATTAATAATCTGACTCACTGACATAATTAAACCTAAAGTCAGGAAGCCTCAAATAATAATGGCAATTTATCATGAACAATCAACATGGCCCAAAACTACACCCTCGTAGCCATATAGCATTCATAATTTCACATGGCTCATAATCGTAACAGAAAATACAGGGAAAAGGCAAAGCAAAAATACTTATAAACCAAATATTTGACATATAGTTGTACAAGTTATACAGTGGTTCTGCTACTCATAGATCAATATATAGATTAATCAACATACTAAAACATACTCAACACAGAAGGATCCATTAAATTGTCTTAGTAGCACAACAAGAACCTATAGTTTAGCTAAAACAGAAAAGTTAACCTGCAAACAATTGTAAGCAATGAAAGATGGGATCACATACCAAAGGCATATCAAAAGCCACAATGCCATCAACAGGATCTTTAGCAACAAAAACCATCCGCACATTTGACAAATATATGACCCCCTTTGCTTTAAGACGACCCCCGTGACTTCTGACCATTCAAGATGAAGTTAATAACAAAATGATTAATATATCTAACTGTATAAGATATACTGAAACAAAAAAGTGGAATCCTACACAACACAAGATGAAAAGAAGTTTAACAACTACTTTGCTTAAAAGTTCTTCTAGGCTAAACAAAGACCACCTATACTCATTTTCATTTTCTTTCCTATTTTAAAATCAGCCAACCATATGGCTCTAAATTGCGGCTGCAGTTAGTTAATCTCTGAACCTCTATATCGCGGCAAAATGCAAGCAAATGAGGTTGCAATGCAATAGCAGAAGCCTCTAAAACCTTACGGTTACAAACCACAATTTAAAACTACACAACCAAATATACCTATTGAAGCTGCTACAATACAAAATCAATTCTAAGTTTCTCAACAAAACTAAATACACAAATCAAGTAAAAAGGAAAAAATAAACCTAATTGTTAAAAATTAAATTAATCATAAAGGGAAATTAGAAAAACGGATATAATACCCAGCGCCGGGAATCTTGTCGACCTCAAATTCGACGCCATCTCTTGCCAATACAAACATCTCGCTGACGAAAGGAACTGGCATTCCGTTTGGGAAGAGTTGAGGATTCAAAGCCATGTCTACGAATGGGAGAGAGAAAGTGAGATTCTGAATTCAGAAATCGCGTTTGGTTTTGGGGGTTTTGTTGAGGATTGATGAAATTGGAATGTTTAAACGTTAAACCGAACCGAACGCGTTGACAGGTTTCTAGAACAACCCAGATCTTCAATTAGTTTTTTAAATGAGGATCATTAATTAAATGGTAAAATTACTATGTAACTAATTATTTTTTATTTTGGTGAAAAAACATTAGAAAAACTCAATCATTAATTACATTGTAACTAATTTTTTTTTTATAAAAAAAACACTAATAAGATATTCGTGCGTCTATATTAGTATTTTAAAAATCGGATTGAATCAGTCGATCAAATTGGTTGAATTGGAAATTAAAGGAGTTATTTGTCTAATTTGATTGTTGGATCAAATAAACTATTGAATTAATGTGAACCGATCAAAATCGACCAAAACTAATGAACTACAATTTTTGAAAAATTAACAGGTTAAATGTTTGCATTTTTTCCAAACAAAACAACATCATTTTTATAATTAAAAAAAAAGTAAAATATAGTAGACTTTTCCAAAATTTATTTACAACAACTTTTTTTTCCATGAATTAAATTTCTTTGTCACTACATGCATTTATTTTGTTAATTAGTTTATATGAGTAATTAGATTTTGTTCAAAAATTATTTGGATTTGTATTTTGTATTTGTTCTGGATTGGATTTAAGGCTGGTCCACCGTCGGATACAGCTCATTCCAACTCTGCGTTGAGAAGGCTTTAACACAAAGGCCCGATCTGCCATCACCGCGGGAGGAAATGTTCCTCACACGTCTTCCTTGCGCCTTTCAAGTTTTCCCCACGCGGAAACACGTCATCAACCAACTATCCACGTCCGAGAGAACATGTCTTCCACTTTCCAGAATTCGTTGGGTAGTTGACCCAGGACGAAGACCACATGTGGGTCTTCCTTACTACCACGTAAGATCCTGTCAGTCATCTGTTGTGGGTCTGGCGATCTAGCCCAAAGCAAATGATCGTTGATCCAGCGCTAGGGGCACATTATAAATACCCTCCTCCACAAGAGGGTCAGGTATTCTGATTCACACTCACTTTCTGTACTTGCTCTCTCTTTCACTCCCTTTCTCACTTTGCCATCGGAGTGTCTTGCAGGCACACCCTCCCTCCTCTTCTCCACCACCGGCAAATTTGAAGCTCACGACGTGTTGCTGGCTGCTAATCCTCTTTTTGATCCCGGTAAGATTAGTACTATTTTGTTGTTTGTGATGATTGAGTTTATAATATAAATTTAAAGAATGAACATATGAAATTATGATATTTTAAAATTTTAAAATTCTGTATCGTGATTTTTTTAGAGAGCGAGTCATCTAGTTCGACCAGTTAAATAATGTTAAAATTTTGTTATACAACATAATTTATTCAACCAAGTTAGTCAGTTTAATTTGATTTAATCATGCGATTTGACTAATGATTCAATGGTTTGACCAATGAACCAATGACCCAGTACCCTTACTAATTTGATGACCGATCCGATTTTTAAAACATTGGTCCACACAAATTAATTTATTTGTTATAATATTTATTGTCCTAATACTACCATTTAATATTGAAAATATTGTAGGAGATATAAGCGAAAACACATCACCAATGCAATTTCTAGTGAATTTATCGGTTTTCAAATGTGAGAACTATGAACCGTGGGTTGCATAAATGAAGGTCATCTTCAGATTTCAAAATGTAGCTGAAATCGTGACTGATTGAGTAAATGTGTTGGAAACGAATGCAAATGATGTGCAGAAGGCTATGCACAAGGAACAAAGGAAAAAAGATTTAAAAAAAACTATTTTTTGTATTTATCAATGTTTGGATCCTAATTTGTTCGAGAATATTATTGAAGAAGAAACATCCAAAGAAGCGTGGGACAAGTTGAAGAAATTGTACGGTGGAGATAAAAATTAAAGAGGGTGAAGTTATAGACACTGAGAAAGCAGTTTGAAATAACACAGATGAAAGAAGATGAATCAGTTGTTGATTTCTTCTCAAGATTAATGTTACTCACGAACCAGATGAAGGTATATGATGAGTCGATCAATGAATTGCAATAGATTGAGGAAATGTTGAGATCTCTGACTGCAAATTTTAATTACATTGTAGTATTTATTGAAGAGCCCAAGAACCTAGCTGAGATGAAATTAAAAGAACTTCAAGCTTCATTAGAGACTCATGAGATGAGGCTGAAACAGAGGAAATCAGAAAGGGAGAAGGTGGGTGAACAGGCATTGTAAGAAAGATTCTTCAATAAATCTAGTTGAGAAAGCGCGAAACAGAGAAAGAATCTTGCAAATGATGAGAAGTCAAACAAGAATTCAAATAATCACCGTGATTCAACCAAGAAAGTGATGGACAATAAGTATTCGGGGAAAAAAGTTGACATGAAGGAGTTGCAGTGTTATAATTGTCGAAGATCTGGTCATTATGCCCGAGATTGTTAGAGAGAATGAATCGAGAGAAAAATATAATGTCGAAGTGCAATATGCACATGTTGGGGAAAGCAACTTTGATTATATGTTACTCATTGAAAATACGAAGTCGAATAATGAACAGACTAATACGTGGTACCTGGATTCAGGGTTCATCAACCACATGATTGGTAATAAAAACCGGTTCACCAAGTTAGATGAATAAATTAAGAAAGTAATCAGGTTTATAGATTGAAGATATGCCGCATCAACTGGAAGATGAAACATAGTTGTATTGCGAAGAGATGGTCAGAAGGCCAGTATTAATGATGTATTGTATGTACCTTTTGTAGCACCCCATTTGAATTATTTAGTCTTTTTATAATTTATTGTGTGCATATTGGTTGTGATGTCTTTGATAAGGGTATGAGGTTAATGGCAGGAGTGAGAGGTGACCTTAGTTGGGGTGAGGTGGACCTATAATAATGATAATGCTAACCATTTAATAACAATAATAAGAATACTATGGTTACTGATATTATTATTAGATTATTATTGATAATAATATTAATAGGATGGTAGTTATGATTATTATTATTATTATTATTATTATTAATTGGATTAATAAAATTAAAACCTGATTAAGGGGTTGATAGAGAGTTAGCGGAGGAATTAGTCAGTTAACACGTAAAAGAGGAAAAAGGTAGAGAAAGGAGAGCTAGGGAAAAAGGAACCAATTCTTCATTGTTGTCAAGGAAAAAGCTTCAATCCAAGGTAAGGGGGAGAATGGATTTCAATATCGGCGAATTAACATGAGAGGGTAGTGAGAGGTTCTTTCTCTCGTAGGAATTCCTGTTTGTTCTTGTTCATTGATCTGATTTTGTAACTTTGTGATGTTTCTTATGATTACTGTCATTGCTGAATATTTTTGGTCGGGTGTTGGATGAACGAATCTAAAATTGATCTAAAATTCGTGTGAAAATTTATGGACACTATGGTGAAATCATGACAGATGTTTGATATGAGAATTAATGGTTTAACAGTAATCAAAATTAGATCTAATAAGTAGAATCTTGAAAGAATAGAAGATAGGATTCATTGGAATTGATTAAAATCTGAGTTTTAGGATGAATGGGAAGATAGAATGATGAATCTTGAGTAGAAACTCGCGAGAATGATGAGATATGAGTTTTTTGACAGATCTGCTGGTCACATGCGTATTGGAGGTGTCCATACGCGTATGGGGGACTTCCCGAGGGGCTGTACGCGTAACTGACGTGCCATGTCCCCAGTTCCAGCACAACCATCTTGTGATACGCGTATGGGCCTAGGCAATACGCGTATGGGGGTAGTCATACGAGTAAGGGAGTGACTCTGAGGGGTTTTGGGAGGTGAAAGCCTCTGGTCGTACGCGGAAGGTAGAGCTGATATGCGTATGACAGCATGCATTACGCGTATGGGCAGCCTGGGGTGACTTTTCCCCAATTTTTGTGATTTATGTCCAGATTTTGCTTGGAACGCAACTTCGTTTAATCGGTAGGATTAGTATGACTAAACTGAACTTAAGGAAGATTAGTAATGAATTAAATCGAGAGAATGTGGAATGTTATGTGTGTTCCCTTATAGGTGTGTTTTGATGAGAATGAGCCATGATTGTTGAAATAGGATAATCTTGTGCGATCGTGGTAATTCCCGAGAGGATTAGGGTGAGTGAATGGCTCGTGTGGATCATTGATGATCGTGAATTATGCTTGAATTATTATATTGCATAATTGTGTTGTCATGCATTTCATGTCATGTGTCTTGTGGAGATGGATAGGTGGGAATCCATGATGGGTGCCTAGTTTCATCCGGACTTCATGTGGAAGTCGTTGTGGAGATAAATTGTAGTTCAGAGGAACGTATATGACTTATCTGGATTCCGATAGGAATCAGGTTCTAGGGTGAACCATATGTATTTGTGTTGGTACCACATGCATTATGTCGAGTTTGTGAGTCACATTGCATATTTGTATTTGATTATGGGCTATTAATGCCGAGTGATTGAGGTGGCACGTTGTCGTACCTCAAAAAATACGATCCTCGCGATGGCCGCGGAAAATACTGTTCGAAACAGAGTCGCCACCGAACTTTATTCATTCCAAGAATGGAATAGAAAAATATCGATAAAACCTTAAAGGAGATAAGAACATGGTCATCGCAACCAATATTCTAGGTTCGGGAGTCGGTTACGCAGAGGGAAGGTATTAGCACCCTCTACGTCCGTTGTACTCAACGGGAACCTCTTGATTGATTCGAGAGTAAAGTTAGCTAAACTGTTTGTTTCTTCTAAGGTTTCTCCTATAGGGGGCATGGGTGGTTTTAAGATAGGGTGCTCGCCAAGGATTCGGGCCCTTGCGCCTACGTATCTTCACTTGTAAGAAGTGGAAAATCAGAGCATTCGTAGTTCAGGGGACTACGGGAAAAAGAGGGGATTGTGCTCGCCAAGATCATCGCAATCTTGTGCCTACGTATCTTACATTCGGAAGTGAATGAAGA